CTGGGCTTCCATGGATTTCTCAGGTTATTGGAGCCTCTGGCACTGCAACCCCTGTCCTGTAGAATCCAGATTCCCTGGGATGGCAGCAGCTCTCTGAAGGATGTGTGTGTGTCATTAATCTGCCACATGAGTTAATTGGGAGTGAGAATCCAGAATGGCACATTATCTCTGGTTGTGTCCTTGTGAATATCCAGTGGCAGCAGGTTAATCATCCAGCTGGCTGCTAACATGTTTGCTTTGTTGTGGTTTCTGATCATTATGAGGTGATCAGGCCTTGGTGCCTGTTGAAGGAAAAAGTCCTCTCCATGCAGTGCCTGCACTGAGCAGGGTAAATCTGCAATAATTGCAGGTCAGTGCTGCTGGCCCAGTGCCATTCGGGTAAAGCTGCAAGCTGATAAATTGTATTGACAGAAATTTTATATCATAGAATCAGACTGGTTTGGGCTGGGGGGGACCTTAAAGCCCCTCCAGTGCCACCCCTGCCATGGCAGGGACACCTCCCAATGTCCCAGGCTGCTCCCAGCCCCAGTGTCCAGCCTGGCCTTGGGCACTGCCAGGGATCCAGGGGCAGCCCCAGCTGCTCTGGGCACCTGTGCCAGGGCCTGCCCACCCTGCCAGGGAACAATTCCCAATTCCCAATATCCCATCCATCCCTGCCCTGTGGCACTGGGAGCCATTCCCTGTGTCCTGTCCCTCCATCCTTGTCCCCAGTCCCTCTGCAGCTCTCCTGGAGCCCCTGGCAGGCTCTGGGCTCTGTAACAGCCTGTCCCAGGTCACTGAATGTGTCAGGCACACTCTGCCCTCAGGGAAGCTCTGGTGGCTCTCCCCATGTCCCCATGGGAGGCTCCCCTTGCCCTCCACGTGCCTGAACAGATTTTCCAGGAATCTGCTCCGAGCTCCTGCTGGGCTCTGGGGTGAGCCTGCCTGGCCTGTGGCACCCTGGCTCTCCCTTTTCTCCCTTTCCAAAAGGATGTCAGTCATGGAGAACATGAATTAGCACAATGCAGCCATCAGCTCTCCCTGGCTCCCAGAAGTGCTCCTTAGGGAAAAGGGCCTTTTTTCTGTGATTATTTTACTTTTATCTGCCTCTGCAAGTTCTTGCATTACACAAGAGCTGGTCATGACTTCCCAATTAGGGTTGAATTTTGGAACAGGACTGGGAGCCTCATGATAAGTCTGTTCCTCTCCACATGGAGGGGCCTTTCAATGGGAAATATCACGTAGGACCAGCATTATGCAACTTGATTTTTTTTTTCCTGTAGTTTTTACTGATTTATTTTAATTAATTCTTGATATAAAATGCTCAAAATCGCTTTCAGGGCTTGGTGGTTTGGTTGCTGGGTGTTTTTCATGGCCTGGGGGAAGCCCTCCCAGTGCTTATTTTACACCCCCTGATGTTTTCCATTGCAGAGGTGTTTAAAGAGACCCTGGATTTATTATTGTTTATATTTGTTCTATTATTGTTTATTTATTATTATTTATCCCTAGAAATCCCCACAGGGATGGCAGCCACCCATCCTGAGCTGGGAGTGCTGGAGAGGTGGGATAAAACTGAGAAGAACAAGAGTTCTGAAGTTTCTTTTCTAAGAATGGAGATACTTGCTCTGAGAGGGAGAGGCAGCTGTGCCTTGTGCCCCTTTGGAGGGATGGGGAGCAGACAGACCTTTTTCCAGGAGTGTGATCTCAGCTGTTCCCCACAGGAAGGAGGGAAATTCAGGCATTTTTGGGACCCCCATGTGTGTGGAACAGAGGGATCACCCTGTCAGAGGTGCTGGGTTAAAGCAGGAGCGTTTGCAGCTGTGTCCAGCTCGCTCAATGGCACATTTCAGAAGTTTTCAGGGAAAGGCCAGCATCTCCCCAGTGTGGCTGTGCCACCTCACTGTCCCTGCAGCTCCATCACTGAGGCACAGGGATGCAGCCTGGGCTGGTGGCACTGGGACAGAGGGCACAGTTAACCCTTGAGGTGCCACCTTGCCTTGGCCCAGCACGGCCCAGCTCCCCCCCAGTGCTGGGAGCTGGAGGTGCAAACCCAGCCCCAGGGGGGTCTCACCAGTCTCACCCAGCTCCTGGGTGAGAACAAGAGTCTTGGGATGCATTTCAGCCCATATTTCAACAGCTCCATCAATTTTTTCATGATTATCCCTGGGTTTGGGTAAGGAAACGTCCAAAACCTCCTCCAGCTGCAGGGACTGGCCCGAGGTCACTGCCAGAGCTGCCTGAGCTGCACCTCAGCTTTTATTGCTCATGGTCCCAACTTTAAATGATGCCCTGGAAGAAGGATCTTTGCTGGAATTTCAGACAACTTCAGAGGTTTAGATGGAAACAGGAGTGTTTGAACAGCACAGTGGGATTCATCCTTCCAGCAGCAGAGGCTGGAGGGTGCAGGGTGGAAGCCCCATCATCTTCCTCTGGAGCTGAGAAAATTGTTGCATTTGTTTTTAATCTAAGGCACAAGTCATCTAGACTAGAAATGTAATTTTTTTTTCCTTTTGGGAACATGGATTCTAGCAGGAAGGAGCAAAAATTTCATTAAAGAAGAAAGCAGGACTCCTGAGATTTGCAGATGAGGAAGGAGGGAGTGTTCCTGCTGTGCACAAAAGGCAGCCTGAATTTGAGGAATCCTGGAAGTTTGTAAGTTTGCTATCTGCCTTGGAGTTTCAAAGCCTTTAGGATTCATGACTCAGGTTTACACACACATGCCTTGTAATGATTCGATCTTTCTGGCTTTTTTTTAAGTGAAAATCAAATTTTTTCTCATGATCACCTGACTCTAGGAGGTAGAGCTTTAAAAATGTGCTCTGCTGCCAAACTGGCAGGAATTTCATCAAACCTGGTAACAAGATGTTCCTATTTGGTTTGGGAAGGCTGCAAAATCCCTTTCTGTAGGAGAGGAAAAGCAGGGTGGGGAGTTATTTTAAACTTCAACCAAAAGGGTTTAATCCCCACACTGGTCCTGCTGGATTTTCCACATCTGTTTGTTGGAATGCCAATGAAGCTGCCACCAGGACATGTCCCTTGCAGGACTCCCTGTGCCATTCTGGCCTTCCCAGGACCCATTTTCCCTTCTCAGGGTGCCCCCAGGTTTTCCCAGCACTGAAATTGGTGGCACTGCTGTCAGTAGTTGGCCCTGAGGTCCCTTACCCTGACAGGGACATTGCTCAGCAGCAGCACTAGCCTTATTTATTAATTTAAATTTTATTTATTTTTATTTATTTTTCAGCAGAAACCACTACTCATGTTCATGGGGTGTTGCTCTGCCCCAGTGGACCCCAAACCTCTTCCAGAGGAGGGTGGGTTTGCTGAAAGAGGCACTTTTCTAGCCAGATTTTGGGCTAGAAATTTTTTGTTTTTCTGAACAAGAGACATTAATTTCAGCATGCCAGGAGAGGTTTTCCATGCTGGATTCCGCTGTATTTGGTGGGATTGGATCAGCAGCTCCCTCACAGTGACCCAGGGCTCAGCCAGGCCTCCCAGTGCTGATAGAAATCCTACAAAACCCCTTTTTGATCCCCCAGATTTGCAGCATCATTAACATCCTGCTACAGAAGAGATTGGTTGGGGTTTTTTGGTGTTTGTTTTTTTTTTCTTGGCCTTTACAACTCCCTGTGGGAGGGCAGAACGTGGGAGCTGCAAGAGGTGATTTAGCAGAACAGCTGCTGGTTGGGAATGCAGGGAAGGAGCAGGGGCAGGTTTGGAGGTTTTTACTTTCCTAATTTACAGGAACACTGCCCTTTACAATCTGTGCAAAGCCCAGTTTAAACTGAATAATGGGGAAGCAGGAAACACTATTAACATTGAAAGGAAGCCTGAAGATCAGGTTAATGATGCTGCCTGGTTTGCTTGTACTCTGTGTGTGGACAGTTCCACTGCTCACAAGAAAATGTATTTTTAGTTTGAAAGTCCCCAGGATTTAGGGACTTCAAACACTGAGGAGAGAAATTGCCTCATTTCCATCACAGCTGAGGTGGTCTGTGAAAGACAGAGGTATTTCTGTCAGCTCTAAGTTTTATTTAATGTTTGTTTACAAACTACCCTGAGCCCAATTTGAGTCAATCAGAGTTATTTGAAGCAGCTTTTGTGGGAAAAGGTAACAGAAGGAGCCCTTGATCCGTATGGTGTGTGCAGAGCACAGGCTGGTTCAGACACACAGGGGAGAGGTGGAAGTTGCAATTTCTATGGATGCTTTTTATTTGATATTGGAAAGCAGCTTCAGTGTGCTGAGAGCACACAGATCCTTTTTCACTGCTTTTTGTAAATAATTTTCAGTGCCCAGTGCACCTGTCCCAAGCTGCCCTCAGCCCTCAGGTTTAGGACCCTTGCTCAGGGGCATCCATTCTGCTTTGGGTGCCATGGTTTGGGGATCCCAGTGCTGGGGTGCTGAGATGTGGGATTTGCCTGATCCAGGAAGGCTGTTCCTGTGAGCTGATGAGGAAAGCTGCTGAGAAATGGAATCAGGGCTCCTTCAGAGCCTGGGAGGTTACAGAGCTCCAGAAACACAGCCCAGAGCTGATGTGCACTTCAGATCTCTGGACCAGCCAGATGTCTCCATATAGAATCCACATGGGCGTATCTCCACCTGAAATCAGTCCCCTGGGAAGGGCTCAGCCCTGCTCCCAGAGGATCCTGTGCTCAGAGGGACCCAGCTGGGGGTGGCAGGAGCTGGGACAGTGTGCTTGTCCCCAGCACTGCAGTTTCCCTCAGGCTGCCCTGTCCCTCTCAGTCAGGAGCTCTTGGCAGCACTCACTCACTCACTCACTCACTCACTCACCCTGTCACAGGGGGCTTTCCCATCTGGGGTCAAAGCAGCCAGCACTGCAATCCCCAGGAGATGGGGAGTGTTTGGGGCTGGTTGTACCAGTATGGAACTGGGCAGGGAGGGCTGGGAGCTGTGTGCAGGCCCCAGGGGCTGAGGAGGGGTGGATCCATCTCCCAGGGCCCTGCAGCCCTGAGCCAGCCCTGCTGCTGCTGGCAGTGATCCCTGTGCTTGCCTCTGTCCCCAGCTATGGGTGAACCAGGAGGATGGCGTGGAGGAGGGAACCAGCGAGGTGCAGAACGGGCACCTGGACCCCAGCGCCGACTGCCTGTGCCTGGGCAGGACCGTGCAGAACCGCGACCAGATGAGAGCCAACGTCATCAACGAGATCATGAGCACCGAGCGCCACTACATCAAACACCTCAAGGACATCTGTGAGGTACCTGGGGCTGGGGAGCCTCTGGGGGCTGGCCTGGGGCTGTTCCTCTGCATCAAACACCTCAGGGACATCTGTGAGGTACCTGGGGCTGGGGAGCCTCTGGGGGCTGGCCTGGGTCTGTCCCCACTGCCTCAAACACCTCAGGGACATCTGTGAGGTACCTGGGGCTGGGGAGCCTCTGGGGGCTGGCCTGGGGCTGTCCCCACTGCCTCAAACACCTCAGGGACATCTGTGAGGTACCTGGGGCTGGGGCACCCCTGGGGGCTGGCCTGGGGCTGTTCCTACTGCATCAAACACATGAGGGAGATCTGTGAGGTACCTGGGGTGGGAACAACACATGGGGACTGGGAACAGGACATAGGGGTTGGGAACACAACATGGGGGCTGGCCTGGGTCTGTTCCCACCAAATCAAACACCTCAAGGACATCTCTGAGATACCTGGGGCTGGGAACAGGACATGGGGGCTGATCTGGGTCTGTTCCCATTACACCAAACACCTCAGGGATATCCGTGAGGTACCTGGGGCTGGGGAACCTCTGGGGTCTGGCCTGGGGCTGTTCCTACTGCATCAAACACCTCAGGGACATTTTGAGGGACCTAGGGCTGGGAACAGGACATGAGGGCTGGAAACAGGACATGGGGGCTGGCCCAGCTCTGTCCCCACTGCATCAAACACCTCAAGGACATCTGTGAGGTACCTGGAGCTGGGGCACACCTGCCCATGGTGAGGGGCTGGCAAGGGCTGAGCCTGGGTTTGTCCCTGGGTGATTTGGGAACAAGCTGAAGTGTCTGAGGACTGTGTCTAACGGAGGAGCAGCATCTGTCAATATGTATTGACAGTTCTGAGAATTTCCTGCTGGATCTGATAATTCCTTTAGTTTGTATTAACCAAAAGTGCAATTTCCTGACCTTTATTCCATAGCTCTTTGACTAAAACATGATGAGGTTCAGATCCTTCAAGCAGCCCTCTTAATTAAAACCCAATGCCATCTACTTTTGAACTTGTGATTGAGGAAATTAGGTTGTAATTAAACCAATCAGTTACCCATGTCATCTGTGCCTTTCATGTCGGGTTCACAATTTCCCCTGGCTCAGGATGGCCCCCATTTGCCTTTTTTATGGCGAGACTGAGGGCAAAACATTTCCACCATGGGAAATGAAGAAGGGAACCAGCAAGCAATGGACTGCAGTGACTGACCCACAAATCCCCAACTTGGTTCTTGTTCATTAGGGTACAATTAACCCCTCCAACCCCTTAGGTTCAGGATTAGTGCCCTGAGCTGACCCCAAGGTGCAGAGCCTGTGGTGCTGGGTGTCTGGGAAGGGGAACACGTGGCTGTGCCAGAGTTGGGCACTGTGTGTGGAGATGTCCTTATCACTGAGAGGCAGAAGTTTGTGAGCCCTGAAATCAAAGTCTGGGGATGGCTTTCAGCTCATCCCTCGCAATGTTTAGGATTTAGTGAGCCTGTGCCCAGTCAATGTGGTGAAGCCCCTTGGGGATAGTGCTTAGAGGAATGTCTTCCTCCATTCATCCTTGCTGCTTTTCTCCCAGCAAGGCAGAGCAGCCATCCAAAAAGCATCTATGACACTTTTCAAATATGGAAGAGCCTTGGGATTTCAATTTGGAAACAAATGAGCTTAATTTCAATGTGCTATTTCAGTCAGAGAGCTTTGCATTGGAGAAGGGAAGACTGCAGACACTTCTCCACATTTTGTTTCTTTTCCTGCATTTGCACTTTTCTGTTGGAAACGAAAACAAAAGAAACAAAAATAAACCTTAACTTGCATCTCCAGCCATGTCACCATGTTTCTGCCAATTGGGATTCTCAGGAGGTGCAGACAGGTTCAGCTGCAGTGGGGAAACACTGATTTACTGCCCCTAATGATGTATCCCAAATAGGAGAGATCCAGAAAGCTCTGCTCTCTCTTTGCTCTGTGTGATGCAGACTGGGATTGAGGGGATAAATCTTACCTGCAGGTAGAGCATCAGGAAATGATTCAGCTAAGCAGGGAGGAGGGCTGAAATGGGCATTCTCATCTGTGCAACGATGGGCTGTGCCTTGCTGGAGAGAGGCTCATGATGCTCACTTTAATCCCAGCAATCCCTCTGCTGGGGAAGGCTCCCTGGGCTCTGTCAGCTGGAGGCTGGAACAGCAGGGTGTGAGCAGGGCTGGGCTGGGAGAGATGGGCTGGGCTGGGAGAGATGGGCTGGATGATGGATGGATGGATGGATGGATGGATGGATGGATGGATGGATGGATGATGGATGGATGGATGATGGATGGATGGATGGATGGATGGATGGATGGATGGATGATGGATGGATGGATGGATGAGGGATGGATGGAGGGATGGATGGATGGATGGATGATGGATGGATGATGGATGGATGATGGATGGATGGATGGATGGATGGATGGATGGATTGATGGATGGATGGATGGATGGATGGATGATGGATGGATGCATGGATGGATGGATGGATGGATGGATGGATGATGGATGGATGGATGGATGGATGGATGGATGGATGATGGATGGATGGATGGATGGATGGATGGATGGATGGATGATGGATGGATGGGGGAATGGGGGATGGATGGATGATGGATGGATGGATGGATGGGGGAATGGGGGATGGATGGATGATGGATGGATGGATGGATGGATGGATGGATAGATGGATGATGGATGATGGATGGATGGATGGATGATGGATGGATGGAGGGATGGATGGAGGGATGGATGATGGATGGATGATGGATGGATGGATGGAGGGATGGATGATGGATGGATGGATGATGGATGGATGGATGGATGGATGGATGGATGGATGGATGGATGGATGATGGATGGATGGATGGATGATGGATGGATGATAGATGGATGGATGGATGAGGGATGGATGGATGGATGGATGGATGGATGGATGGATGGATGGATGGATGGATGGATGGATGGATGAACGGACTGACCGCCTCTCCTGGCTGTCTCTAAGCCCACTGTGGGGTGAAGAATACTTAGCACTTAACCTTCTGCAAGTCCTGCCCAACTTTGGCCTATACTTCAGGGACTACATGGAAAAGTACTTTAAAGAGAGACAGTTTGGCAGCTATTTTTAGATATACATTGAGCAAAACACTCTCCAACATCTGCTCATCAGTCAGTTCTCCCTTCTCTGACCAAACCTGACAGGATGAGCAGAAGGAAGGATGACATTGTTTTATGTAACAGAAGTAAATTTACTGGAAAAACTCTGCAGCAGCCTCCTCTGCTGAGTGTTATGGATGAATCTTGAGTCTCCTTTTCCTGTCTTGTCCTGGAAACCACCTTCAAACACACAGAGAGGATGAGGCTTGGGAACTCCTCACATTCCTTTATTCTCCTTGTGCTTTCAGAGGTGCCTGCACAGAAATGTGCTGCTTCAGCTCCTCCAGACACGTGATTCCAGAGAAATGATGAAGCAGCACAGGGAGGGTGGGAATAGTGAGGATGGGAATTGCAGCCAATGGCAGCCCTGAGGCTGGGAGACATTCCTGTGTCCAGGAGGGGAGGGATGTCACAGAGCACAGGGAGGGGACACTGCCCCATGGCCGCAGGGAGGGCTTTTTCCTGGCTTTTTCCTGGCTTTTTCCTTGGGTTTTTTCCCAAGCTATTCTGAGATCATCAGCTAAACAGGAAAATCTGCCTGGAGAGATGCTCTGTGTCATTTCTCCCCAGTCTGGATTTTGGTTTGCCCTGTTACCATCCTGCAGCGTGGGAAGCAGCCTGCTCCCATTCCTCGTGGCCTTGGAAAATCAGAGGGGGAAACCCAGGGAAATGAGTCATCAAGGAGCTCCTGGGGGAAGAGAGGCCTAGATTAGGAAGTGTAGAAGGTGTTCCATAACCCAAACTTCTCTGCTGAAAGGCCAGGAAACTCAGGGTGACGGCATCCTCCGAGCTGAGCTGCACATGGCAGAGGTTGGGTCCAGGCCAGGTCGGCCAGAGTTGCATTTCTCATTCATGTTTGAAGTTGTCCCTGCCAGGAACCACATGGTGAGGCTGAAGGACAGTTCATTGCAGGGTTCCAGTGTTCATTGTGGCCCAGCAGCTGCATGTCACCAGCTGGCAGTGTGACTAAGCATCCCGAGTTCCCAAATTTAGCCATTCCACTGGAGCTGCTGGCGTTTTCTTCCCCTCGTTTTTTCCCCTTCCTATGTAATAAAGGCAAGCAAAGTGAGCACAGTCATCTCCTGATGACCCCTGTCTTGTTTCTTTCCAGTCAGGATGCTGCTAAATAGACCAGGCCAGTTGCAACATCTGAGATTTGGCCTTGCAAAGTTTCTCGCCTAAATCATTCTGGTTGGACTTGATAATCCTAAAGGTCTTTTCCAATGTTAAAAATTCTGTGATTCAGTGATGATCATCCTGACAGGTGAAGTGTGGGAGGATGAGGGGATTTGCTCAGAATCTTCCCACCCTCCAGCACATCAGCTGCAAACTTGTTGGGGATGCACTCCATCCCCTCATCCAGGTGGTTGATAAAGATACTAAACAGAACTTGCTGATAGTACTAAACAACTTCCTTGTCCTGATTACTGATCTGAAAGGAGAAATCAGAGCAGGCTCAAACAGCCCCTCACAGCTTTCTGTGGAGGCTGAGCCACTGGAAGGATGGGGAAGCAGCAGTGCTTGTAGGAGACCTGGGTAGGAGGTGTTGGGGGCAGTGGGGTTTGCAGGAGCACTGAGCTCCCCTCCTTGGGGCTGTCCCCTGGCTGTGGCTGCTCTCTGCAAATCCTCTTTTCTCACTCTCACAGGGTTACTTAAAGCAGTGCCGGAAGAGGAGGGACATGTTCAGTGATGAGCAGCTGAAAATCATCTTTGGGAACATTGAAGACATCTACAGATTTCAGATGGGCTTCGTGCGGGACCTGGAGAAGCAGTACAACAACGAGGACCCCCACCTCAGTGAGATTGGGCCCTGCTTCCTGGAACACGTGAGTGCACTGCCACTGTCCCTCAGGCCTGGGCTGGGAGGGAGGGAGGGAGGGAGGGAAAACCCAAAGGCAGGAATCTCTTCTGGTAACAGATCAGGGGCTGCTCCATGGACTGTGGGAGATACAGAGGAGGGAGAGCTTGGATATGCAGTTGGATAACCCCCAGTACATCTGAGTCACATGGATGAGAAGATACTGGAGGATTTTGCCTGGCCCATCCTACTGTTCCATAAACCACCTCCTGCAAGAGCTGATAAATTGGCCAATGTTGTAAATATGGCAGGAAATGTCAAACAAATGCCAGCCCTGGAGCTGGAGGCTTTCCTGGAGGGAGAGGGGAGCAGCTCCTATGCCATGTCAGGACAACAGTTCACTGCTTATCAGAGAAACTCCTGATAAACATTCCTGAAACTTCAGCAGGACATCTCTAAAGAGTTTCACAGCATCTTTTAAACATCCCTGGGTCTCTCACTGGGCTTTCCTCTGAGAAGGTGCATGAGGTGTTAACATGGCTGGTTCTTATCAGAGCCTGCAGAAAGCAGCATCGCATTCCACCTCTGTGCTGGGGAGATGTAGGAAATCTTGCTGAGAATCAGTAACTCAGATGTCATGACTTGAGGCTGTGCTGTCAATTCATTGATAGTGACAATAGCAAGAATTGCTGCTGAGAGTTGGAGGAAGATCTGACACTTGCCTGTCACCAGACAGGGGCTGAGAGCTGGCTGATAAACTCCTGATAAATTGTCCCTGCTTAGCCATTTGGGAAACCGAGGGGTGAGGATGTTTAGATCCTGTTTAGAGATCTCCAAAGCATCTTGTTCCTCATTTTCTTCAGGAAGAGAGATCTGTCAGTGCATGGCTGGGTCAGCTGTGGGGATGGGAAGGACACTGGATCCCTGTTCCCAGAGAAGCAGCTTGTTTAGACCCTCAGGGATTGAGAAGTAATTGCTGGGCAGGCATTTGGCTAAATAGAATCTGTCCTTTTATTGGAAGGCATTGGCCACAGCTCAGTGGAACTGGCTGGTTTGCAGCACCTGCCTTTGACCTGGGCTGTCTCAGAGTTAATTTGTGGTGCTGGGCTGTGCCCATCTCCTTCCCAGTGAAATCCTCCTCTGCCCTTTCATTGCCTCGTCTGCATGGCCCAGATGAATCAAGCCCAAGTTAAAGGTGACACTCCGTGGTCAGTGAAGGCAGAAAAAGGACATTCCAACAAAATAGACACCAGAAAGCTTGTTGGACCAGTCCAAAAGGTGGAGAAGCACACGTGTCAGTGGGGTTTTTGTTTGTGTTCAGTGTTTTCTGGGGCTCTGTTCCTGGGGAAATCCATGCAGTGCCTTGGGCTCCCCATTGGTAAAGGGAATTTCAAACATCCCCAGCCCCCAGACACTTGCCAGGTGCTTCAGGCTCAGGGAAAGAGCTCTAGGAATAACAAGGTTGTCCTCTTGTCTTACCAAAAGCCAGAGCTCTGCTGGGTTGTGCCTTTCAACCCTCCCTGCAGGATTTGAAGCTGAGAGCAAGCACAGCTCTGTGCAGGGCTCACATTGACACACCTGTACCTGCAGAGACCTTGGGCTTGTGTCAGAGTGCAGGTCCCTCTCTGCACTCCCTCCTTTCCCAGCACCTCTTCCAAGCAGGAGGAGCACTGTAGGATCTGTCCTTCAGATCCTTCAGATCCTGCTTGGGCTGTGCTTTCTTGGAAATCCAGACTGGTTTGGCTTGGAAGGGTTGGGTTGGGAAGATCATTTTGTTCCAGACCCTGCTGTGGGCAGGACACCTTTACAGACCAGAATGCTCCAAGCTCATCCTTGAGCACTTTCAGGGATGGGACTGCCATAGCTTCTCTGGGAATTCCATCCCAGGGCCTGCCTACCCTCCCAGGAGGAGTTTCTCCCAGTATCCCTGTCATGGTGGGCATTGTTCAGAGTGCTGTGACCTTCCTGAAGAAGGGTCTTGAAAAAGACACCTGGGGGGCACAGGCATGTCTGTGCTCACACTGGGTGATTTCAGCTCTTCTGGGATCCAGGAGACACAGAAGGACAGTTGGGGTCTTTGTGTGGGGCTCCAGGGAGAGCCTTTATTGAGCTTCTTCCTTGAAGGGTTCAGTAATGAAGGAGCCACTGGGGCAGGGAAAGCAAGGGTTTATTTAGGGATCTTGAGGGGCAGGACAGAACACCAGGGCCAATGGGATACATTGAATCTGCATGTCACAGCAAGGGAAAAGGCTGGGAGAAGCCTTTTTCTCACCCTAGTGGCCTGAAGGGTTCTCCCTCCAGGGGAGAGTTGTGGTTCCTTTCCCTGTTGGCCCACCAGCCCCACAGGTCCCACAGAACCCTGCCCTTCCCAGCCCTGGTGTGGCATTGACCAGCCAGGTCTCTGCCTGACCCGTCCTCCTCCTCCTGCCCTCACAGCAAGACGGCTTCTGGATCTACTCTGAGTACTGTAACAACCACCTGGACGCGTGCATGGAGCTCTCCAAGCTGATGAAGGACAGCAGGTACCAGCACTTCTTCGAGGCGTGCCGCCTGCTGCAGCAGATGATCGACATCGCCATCGACGGCTTCCTGCTCACCCCCGTGCAGAAGATCTGCAAGTACCCCCTGCAGCTGGCAGAGCTGCTCAAGTACACGGCCCAGGAGCACAGGTACCTGCAGGCACGGGGCCAGGCTGGGCCCTGCAGGGAGGGCTGGGGGTCTGTGCAGGGCTGGGGGTCTGTGCAGGGCTGTGCCCTGCAGGGAGGGCTGGGGGTCTGTCCAGGGCTGGGGATCTGTGCAGAGCTGGGGGTCTGTCCAGGGCTGGGGATCTGTCCAGGGCTGGGGATCTGTGCAGGGCTGGGGATCTGTCCAGGGCTGGGGATCTGTCCAGGGCTGGGGATCTGTGCAGGGCTGGGGATCTGTGCAGGGCTGGGGATCTGTGCAGGGCTGGGGGTCTGTGCAGGGCTGGGGATCTGTGCAGGGCTGGGGGATCTGTGCAGGGCTGGGGATCTGTCCAGGGCTGGGGATCTGTGCAGGGCTGGGGGATCTGTGCAGGGCTGGGGGTCTGTGCAGGGCTGGGGATCTGTGCAGGGCTGGGGGTCTGTGCAGGGCTGGGGGTCTGTGCAGGGCTGGGGGTCTGTGCAGGGCTGGGGATCTGTGCAGGGCTGTGCCCTGCAAGGCTGGGGATCTGTGCAGGGCTGGGGATCTGTGCAGGGCTGGGGGTCTGTGCAGGGCTGGGGGTCTGTGCAGGGCTGGGGATCTGTCCAGGGCTGGGGGTCTGTGCAGGGCTGGGGGTCTGTCCAGGGCTGTGCCCTGCAGGGCTGGGGGTCTGTCCAGGGCTGGGGATCTGTGCAGGGCTGGGGGTCTGTCCAGGGCTGGGGGTCTGTGCAGGGCTGGGGATCTGTCCAGGGCTGGGGATCTGTGCAGGGCTGGGGGATCTGTCCAGGGCTCCTTCCCTGCAGGGCTGGGGGATCTGTCCAGGGCTGGGGGACAGACCTGTCCAGAGCTGCTGCCCTGCAGGGCTTGGGGTTTCTATCCAGGGCTCCTTCCCACCCACAGGTTGGAGTTTTCTGCCCAGTGCTCCTTCCCTACAGAGAGCTTGGGGTTTCTTTCCTAAAAGGGGTTGGGTTTTTCTGTCCAGTGCTCCTTCCATACCCCGGGGTTGGAGTTTTCTGCCCAGTGCTCCTTCCCCACAAAGGGCTTGGGGTTTTCTGTCCAGTGCTCCTTTCCTACACAGGAGCTGTGGTTTCTGTCCAGGGCTCCTTGCCACCCAAGGGTTGGGGTTTTCTCCCCAGTGCTCCTTCCCAACAGAGCTTGGGGTTTTCTGTCCACTGCTCTGTCCATCCCAGGGCTTGGGGTCCAGCTCTTGTCCCTGTGACATCCTGGATAAACAGGAGCAGGACAAAGGGTTAGCAGACAGTTCAGTCTTCTCCAAGCAGCAATTCTCAATGGAGACACACTCAGCCCTGTTCTAATCAGACATGTGAACTAATTACCCTTGGATGTACTTTCTGATGCTACCAGTTACACTGGAAACATTTCCTAATTAGCATTCAGTGGTCTGAGAGGATCCTTCCCTGCTCCCAGGGAGACCCTGGGCACACAGTGAGTACAGGGCCAGGGTCTGCAGCTGGAGCCTGATGTGGGGAGAGCTCCAAACCTGCTCAGCTTTTCAGCCCAGTCCCATCTCTGGTTTTGCTGTGGAGTTTAGGTTCAGAGGAGCAGCCGCAGTTTGATTGCTTCCCAAAATTTCCAGCATCTCTTTTGCTGCTGCTGAGGACAATCAGCCTGGCTGCCTGACAGTGTGAATCAGGAGCAGTGCCTGTGATACCACTTGGGATTTACTGCTGTGAAAATAAGGTGAAAGAAAAATCAGGCCCTGTGAGAGCAGATTTGTTCCTGCCCTGCCAATTTTCTTACTTTTTCCAAAACCCATTTAAAAGCAAGTGAGAACAGAAAAGACCAGTGATGTATCAGAAACTTCTGAAAGTGTTTGATGGCTTGTTTTTCCCAGGCCAGAGCAGAAGTGGGATGGGAGCAGAGATGCATTGATCTGCTTTAACCTGACCCACAAGTCTGAGTGACTCAGGGAAGCCAAATGCCCCTAATCACCAATTTGGACAAGCCTTTGGCTTCAGATCCAATTCCTGCTTTTCCAAAGACCAAATCAAACTTGGAATGGACTGGTGGGAAGCTCAGGCTATCAGAAGGCAGCTCTGGGATCCCACAGGTTGTGGCTTTCCCCTTCAGCAGCCACAGGAGGACCCACAGCACTGGCTGGGAGCTCAGATGTGGCTTCCCACCAAGAGGGTGTTTAAAATGACCCTCAGTGAGTTATTTGGGAGCCACAGCAAAGGGGATGTGGGCAGTGTGATAACACCAGGGTTGGGTTATTTTGGGAGCACATTTCTGTTCCCTTAGGGATGTTCTAAACTCACCATGTGGTTAAGGAATCACACAGAGTCGTGTTCTGAGGAGCCCTGGGAGCTCTCCTGTGGTCAGCAGCTCTTGGGTGACTCAGCCTGAGGGCTCTGTGGCACTGGATTGCCATGGACACTCCATTTCTCCTGTTCCTCTGTGCTCTGGGAAGGGAGGGCAGGGGGAGGTTTGCTCACCTTGCATTAGGAGGAGTAACCCCTGAAGCTCTGACAGCACAGGGAGGAGCCCTGTGGCTGCACAGTGGGGCCATATCCCAGCCCTGGAGTGAGGCAAAACATGGGAAAACATAGGATCCCAGGGAAAGCAGGGATGTGAGCTTCATCTGACAGAGGAACATGTCCTCTTTTTCTTTGTTTCCTTCCTTTTCACTGCCACCACACCTGCAGAGCTGTGGATTTTCCCTGCAGCAGGTCAGGACAATGCTGAAACCAGCATCCAGGCCAGGCTCCCCAGAGACAGCACGTGATGCTTGGCAAGGATCTAGACTTGGATTCTGATGGAGCACTGGGAAGTGGCCACTGCAGCCCCAACAGAATTGACAAACCATTTATTTGCCTTCATCTCATGGTTAATGGGATCCTATTATTGCCTCATGGCCAAATGCTCTGCTCCTGTTGTTTTTTCCTTCTAAGTTTTTGCCAGCTCTGCCACAGACATGGGCTGGGAGCCCAAAAAGTTCAGTCCTGAGCCTTTTCTTCATTACAGCATGACAGGAAAACAGTGCTGGGGTTTTCTCCCTGGAATCAGGGAATTAGCATTCCCAAGATGAGCGGCTGGCACCGTCCCACTCTGCATGGAGGCAGGATGGGGCTGAGCTCAGAGCCTCCCTCCCTGCCTGCCTGCCTGCCTGTCTGCAGCCTGGTTCCTTTGAATTTTTCACAAAGCCACATCTGTTCACCTCTTGAAGATCCACTCCAGCTTAATATTAATTAAATATAGGAAGGTCCTAAGTGCAGCTTGCTGGAATCCTGAGCATTCCCAGAGCAGAAGGGAGCTGGAGTTGGGAATGTAGGAACATGTAAGGTGAGGAGACTCTGCCAGGGAGTGCCCTCCCTTCTGAGCATGAGCATCACTGCTGGGAGATCATTGGTGACTGTCTGCAAACCCTGCACCTCTCCCTGCCTCTCCAGGTCCTTCCTGGCTGTAGGGACTTCCCTGTTTCCCTAAAGAGCTCACGGATGTTCTCCAGGCCACCCTGTGTCCCCTGGCACAGCTCCTTTCCTGCCTGACACAAGCAACACTCCCTTCACACAGATGCTCACACAAAGGGAGGCACAAGAAGTTCTTCATTGTGTAGCACGATCCCTTCCATCCCTGGCAGTGTCCAAGGCTGGGTTGGATGGGACTTGGAACACCCTGGGACAGTGGAAGGTGTCCCTGCCCATGGCAGGGGGTGGAGCTGGATGGGCTTTGAGATCCCTCCTCACCCAGGCCTCTCTGTGATGGGTAGGATATATCAGGCAGCCCATCCTCTGTTTTCCTTTATTTTGCTGATGGCCCAGTCCTGCTGTCCTGGAATTTGTGGGATTGCTTTCAACCACACCTAGGATTTTGACATAAGAATTTAAGAAAAAATGAAAACTCAGCTCAAGATTTCACCTGAGCAAGGATAAATAATATTTTATTTATCCTTGAGCAAATCATATTTTTTGTGTATCACAGTGTGTTTGTTTCTTAGTATTTATCCTGTTGGGAACACATGGAGGGGGGGATCTAATTCCCAGTATTCACCCCTCTTTTAGCTGTCACCAGCACAATCCTTAGCAATAATCAATGAAGCCATTCCCCCTGCAGCTGCCCAAGATGGCAGTTTTTCTCATTAGTCAGCAATCAATAGCAGCCCTTAAGTTAATAATACATTGTGGTGGTGTTGTGGCAGCTGGCCTTGCCTGTCTTCCCAGTGGAAATGAACGTTGCAGCTCCTTGGAATGGAAGAGCAGGCACAGGGCAGGAATCAATGGCATTGATTTCAGCATCACTTTTTGAAAAGACTGATCATCATCCTCAGTGGCCCTGGCAGGAGCCTGTTCTCACTCTGTGTTACTGCACTCACAGGGCCATGCAGGGTAGAAAAAAAAAAAAAGAGTTGCTTGATTTGCTCACCTGAAATCTGCAGTGAGAGTGAATTCCATGGGGTGGCTGCTCTGGGAGTGGCTTGGAAGGTGCTCTGGTCTTTGTCTAAATGGACCCTTTGCTAAATGTTCCTTTTAAAACCAGAAAAATCCAGGCCCAAAGACAGAGGCTGTAAAAGTGGTCAGCCTGTCTTTAGAATGCTCTTCAGCTGGGCTCCTTGTGGCTGCAGAGGGCTCACCCAAAGTGCTGGGTTGGTTGAGGCCAGACTGGGCTCCCAGCTCCAGTTTCCATCGCGCTGCTCCGTCGTGACAATCCAGGTGGAAAAATCCCATTGTAGCAGTGAGGGGTCAGCCCTGCCCGTGTCCCTTTGGGCTGGTGAGCTTGTGGCAGACTCCTGGGCGTGTCCTGCTGCCTGCCTTTGATGGCCTTTCCCTGTGTGTGCAGTGACTACAGGTACGTGGCCGCTGCCCTCGCCGTCATGAGGAACGTCACCCTCCAGATCAACGAGCGCAAGCGGAGGCTGGAGAACATCGACAAGATCGCTCAGTGGCAGGCCTCTGTCCTGGACTGGGAGGTACAGTACCCCTGCCCTGGCAGCCTCCAGGCTGTTCTAGGGTTATCTAAGACCCTGTCGTTCATTGCCCAGGGTTTGGGATGAAGCCTGGGGTGGAGAAGGCGCAGTCGTGACTCTGGGGTGGTGCTTAAACATTAATGGTGCCCTAAAGAAAATCCAGTTCCAGTTTCATCACTAGAAACCTGGAGTGACTTTTGTGATTGCAGTGCTGGTAGTAGGTGAGACTTGGAGCAAACCCCACGTGCATTCTGCCTCTGTGCTGTGTCACTGGGGAGGAGGGAGGGAAAGACGTAGCAAAAAGCCCTGGAAATTGCAAGAGGTTAAGAAAATGAAGAAAATCCTTCTGGTGATTGCTTTATGACTGGAAGCCAAACTGTTAAACTGGAGTTAGAGATGTTATTTGCATTTTATAAATGACATCCCACTTAAAGATATTTCTGAACCAGCCCTGTGTGTAGTGATGGTGTAATTAAGGAGCTGAGAGGCACAGGGAAGGCAGAGTCAGCAGAAGGATTCCTCACCAGCAGGCCTTCAGTCTCTACATTTGTGCCATGTGTTTGGAAGAAAAGCCATACTAAAATTATGTTCTCCCTTTCTTTTCGTCCCTGATTTTTAAAAATCATTGTATGGAAGTAATCCATAAATAGGGTTTTGCAGCAGATTGAGGACAAACGTTTTTGTAAATCCTCTCGCTGTTGTCATCAGCCCATGTGTTCAGCAAGGAGATAATCAGAGTGATGGAGCAGCCTTTCTGCTTCCTCACTTGTGAAGTCTGAAATAACTCCACATTCCAGTCATGGGGATCATACTGTGGAAATGAGTGTGTGGGAAAGAGGCATTCATCCTTTAATTAATTTATTTCTGGCAAAGATCTGCGAAGGCTGGGAGGAGAGGGAGAGAAATACAGGTGCATCACCTGTGTCCTCCTTGGCTGAGCTGGTTTCATTGCTGTGATGGAGGATGGAGGTTTATCACCCTGGATCTGGTGATAAAACACACAATAAAACACATAAATGCAGCAATCAGAGCTGGGATTGTGGCTGGCTGGGAGAGCAGAGAGCACAGACAATGTGTCTGATTGTTTTACTGCTCAGGAACATCTCTCACTGCCAGGCAGACTCATTTCCAGAATGAGGAAAGCGCTCTGCAGGAGGCACAGGACCATCAGCTCCATGCTCAGCCCTGGAGTGTGCCATGGGATGAGCTAATGGGGGTCATTTGTGAGGAGCTCCCAGCCCCTCGCTGGAAATAAATCTCCATTAAGGACAGATCCATTCCAAGCCAGTGAATATTCATGTGTGAGAGGGAAGCCAAGGTGACCTCCACACAGGATCTATGGAATAGCAGTTGCTTTTTCTCTTCCATTAGCTCAGTTGATAATTCATTTTTATTTAGCCCTGTCCTTGATAATTCATTCCTGCTTAGCACTACCCATTCTTTATCTCCATCCCATCCTCAGGCACTTGCCAAATTATTCTTCCAGGCTTTTTTCAGCTATTCCAGATTTTGAGCACATTATTGCAGCAGCATCCTTCAGCTTCTCATAACATAGCACAGCCTGCTGCTGGTATGCTCAGAAATCCCATGGGAACACAGCTCCTGGTCAAAGAAAAACACCTTCTTTGCCCTTTTTATTCTGGATTTTGGATCAAGAAGAGTCACAGAGTTTGATGAGAAAGTAGAGGATGAGAGCTGAATCCAGCAGAGGAATTCACTGCTTGATTCTTTCCTCTAAAGCAGCTCTGAATCACCAGATCCAGCCCCCACTGCACAGCTGTCCATGGAGCAGCCAGAAGGATGCACAGAAACCCAAAATACCCAGGAGTGAGGCACAGTGTAATGCAGGAAGAGAGTGGGAGAAATGAAAGGATTGGATCTTTGGGACGTGCTTGGATGTGCTGAGATGTGTGCAGGTGTTCCTTTGGCACTGCAGACCCCAAACCCCACTTGGAGGCTGCAGGGGTGTCCCCAGGACATGGAGCAGTGGGGTTGGCTCCTCACCCAGCCCTGAGGGCTCAGAGCTTTGTCTCCTGTGCAGTTTTGGGGTACAGCAGGGACCTCCTGGTGTGTGTCCCCAGCCTCTCCAGGCTCTGGGGAAGGGACAGCTCTGGTTTGAGGAGAAGATCAGCTCCCAGGTGCTGTTTGCTGTCAGCTGCTGTCAGGCCTGTCCAGTCTTGTGGAGTTCCCTGAGCAGAGAGGGATCCCAGCTGTAATTCCCAGTTTTCCTGGCCCTGGTCCTGCTCTAATCTGACCTTTCTGTACCTGTTCTGTCCATCCCAGTGGCTCCAGAGCACAGGCACAGCCCAACCTTCCTGAGACCCCCTGGAAACAGCACTGACCCCAAGAAAACAGGGGCCAGCCCTAAAAAATTACCAGTGCAGTCTTTTTCCACCCAAAATGCAGGCAGGGCACAAGATAGAGCTAATCCCAAATTCCCACCACGTTGGCACTTCACAACTGATTTCAGTGGCTGAATGTTGCAGCATGTGGAGATATTTCATTTGGAGGAATGTCTGTTTTTCCTCAGCATCTTGAGACTGATGATGCTGATTCTCTGCTCTGAAGTTTTCATTTCTAAATTTACCCGTGTTTTGTCAGGAGATGGTGGAAAAAGATTCTTTAAAGAAGAAGGAAAAATTCCCAACCAAACAAAAAATTCTTTGCGAGGGAATATCTGAAATGTTCTGGTATATAAAATGTGTGCACAGTTCCTTGCAGGGAGAGCTGGTGTTGGGAATGCTGATCCTAAAACAAATAGGAAAAATAAGGGTGTGTCCAAGCTGCTTTAAACAGAGGGGTTTTACTGAATCCCATTTTTTTGCAATCATTTTTATACCTCCATGGGATAAAAATTTATCACATGTGTGGCCCCATGGTGGTGAATTTCAGGGTGAGTACTTGAAAACCACAAATATCCTTGAGTTAAGCAAAGTCAGAGGTTTTCCCCAAGAAATCCTGCAAGCAGGATCTGATTGTTTAAATTGCCAGTGGGACCAGGAAAGGGTGGCCTGGCACAGGGGACAGCCAGGCCTGAAGTCTTAAGGAATTATTGGCAGCTTTGGCATCTTTAGACAAGAAATGACTGAGCAGAATTGTAAGGGAAGATTCTGATCTCCCTGGCTGCTGTAAATCAGGAATAATACCAGTCACTCTGAGTTCCTGTGTAATTTGTGGCAATGTGGGCTTGCCTGAGAAGCCTGCCTTGGTCTGCTGCCACGTGTGACTCACTTCTTTATTTTGTAACCTGAATTCCCAGCATATAAACAGACCCAGAAAGGTGCTGCCCACACCAGTGGTCCAGTGCTTTGAGCTGGTAATGGCTCAGAATTTGGGGCTTCCACCACCTCCCACCGAGCCCTTTCAGTGCCTTTCAGTTCTGAAGTGTTCCCTGATGTTCCAGCTCCATGTCCCCCTGCTCAGGGTGACACACCCTCAGATCAGAGCAGTGACATTTAAAGGCAGCAAGGCAAACCTCCACACAGAGCTGCCTTCAAAGGGGCAGCCAGAGCATCCTGGGCAGCCTTTCCTGCTCTCTCCCTTCCCTGTTCCTGCCCTCTGAGGGAGCTGCAGCCCTCAAAGCTTGGTGGGAACAGCTCCACACGTCACTGTCAAGTTTTCTGAAAAATCCCTTCACCAAAATTTTCTCCTAGGAAGCTGAGAAGCCTCAGAGAAAACAAAACAAAACAAAACAAAACAAATTCTTATCTCATTTGCTTCTCCTGTGTTGTGCTCACATGTGGAATGTGTTTGGAGATTGTTTATCCAACTTGTAATTGTTTCATTAATTTCATGTAAATTGTTTTAACTTAATGACCAATTACAGTCAAACTGTGTCAGGACTCTGGAAGGAGTCACAAGTTTTCATTATTATCTTTCTAACCTTCTTTAAGTATCCTTTCTCTATTCTTTAGTATAGTTTAGTATAGTACTCTTGAATATAACATAGTATAAAATAATAAATTAACCTTCAAAAACATAAAATCAAATACATCATTCCTTCCCTTGTCTGAAAACCCCACAAATACAAGACCACACGTGCACAGAGCAGGATTTAAAGAGACTTCCACAAAGCCCATCACCATTTCCAAGTCCTTACCAGCCCCAGGGCTGTATTTGCACCCCTCAGAGGCACCTCCCTGCCTTTCTCTCTGCTCCTGGTCCCTTTCTCCTGCCCCCCAGATGGATCCTGTGAGCCCATGGAGCCCTGTGCCACTGTGCCCATCTCACTGGGCTCTGCTTCTAGGCAGGATCTGGGCTCTGTTCCCCGGGGCAGGGCTCAGCACAGCCTCCCTGAGTGCCTGTATGGATGATGTGGGGATGGAAAACAGGTCTGTGCCTCAGCACACCTGGAATTGCTCAATTTTATGCCTTTTCACACAGCTCTTGAACTGCATCAAAACAAAATGAAGCAGCAATCACTGCAGCAGTTCAGGCTCCATCTCCATCTCTCCAGCAGCACTTCCCTCCCTTTCAGCCCAGTTTTTTCTCACAGGAGGGAGAAAAATTGGCTCCCATTCCCTGGGAGATGTGTGGAGGTCCCTGATCCAGCAGGGGACAGTTAACCAGGTTTGGCAGAGGACAGAGCCTTGCTCATCAGCCTGGATAGGTTTGAACTTGCTATTTAAACAGATCACTTTGGTTTGTGAAGATATTTAGGTATTTCTACCAAAGATTCTTATGGGTTGCCAATAGGGCAGCTTCCAAGAGTATTAAATTTCCATGAAGGGAGAAATAGATATATTTTTGAGAAATTAAATGAGCATTGTCCTTTAAAATTTCTTCTCATTCCTGTTATTTACGGGTCCTTTAAATCAAGACTTGCTGCCCTTAATTATGTAATCTATAATCACTGGCCTCAGCCTGATACTGCATCAGTGAATCCAAGAGAGCCACAAAGAGAAGCTGCCTGGAACCACCAAAGTGAGGGCAGCCTGATGAGAAACCCTCCTGGGAAAAAAACACCATGGCAGGGACTGAAATGGAGCTTTCTTTTTCCTCCTTCTTTTATTTTGTTCCCCCCAGCAACAGAAGGTATCAAAACTGAGCTTGTTGAAAAGGACAACATTTCACTGCCGTTCCTTTGTGTGATCTCAGTGTAGCCCCGGGTGCTAATCAGCCTGTCAGTCTCTAATTGCAGAACAGCAGTGTCAGGCACGAGAGAGCCCTGCTGGCTCCCTGGGAGCTGGAGAGGGCACAAATCCCCTCCTGGTGCCCAGCAGGGCCGGCACAGGGCTGGGCTGGGCTGGGCAGGGGGCAGCTCTGGGGGGCATTCCTGGGCCCAGGGAGGGGTCTGGGAGGGGGAGCAGCTCTCAGTGCCAGCCCTGCCTTGCTGCTCCCATTTGTTTCATGGCTCTCTTCAAGCTCTGTGGCTGCTGCCAGCTGCCCATCACAGAGCATGGCCAGGGCAGCAGCACTGGGGAGCTGGGATCCACATCTTCCCAGGCAGCAGCAGCAGAGCTGACCCTGAGCTGTCACAGTCAGGAGTGGCCTGGGGCCTCAGTGTGGCACTGAGGGCACTGGGGGCTGACATCCAGCCCAGAGCTGGGGCCTTTGCTCCCACTGCTGCACACAGGGGCTGGGGCTCTGCCTGACTCTGGGAGTCAGCTCTCCTTGGCTCCCTCTGGATGCTGCAGGACGTGCACTGAAAACCCTGGATGTGTCTGGGGAGGGCTGAGGGGGTTTTTTGGAGGCTTTTGTGACAAAACTCAGGTTGGAAAAGGTGTCAGGAGTCAGGGCTTCTCTGGCCACTCAGCTGCTGTGCTCTGCTGAACGTCTGCCAGGTCAGAGCAACTAAAAGTTCAGCCTCTTCCTTTTTCAGCAGGGACTTACAGAAGGATACAGATGATCCAGCCTCTGTGGGAGTTGGAAAAAAATGGAGAAGAAAAAGGAAATTTTTTCCTGGTTCTGTACAGATTTGGAGGCGTGGGACTGGGACAGACATTTGGAGAAGTCTGTCTGGAGCAGGGCTCGAGGTGTGCTGGGGGTGCCAATGTCCCTCTTTGCCCCCACCCTGCAACTGCTCCCTGAGCCCCTCAGTGGGGATCAGGAGAAGACAGTTTGTGCTCTTCAGAGAGGTACAACTGTGTCAGGACAAGAAAAGCCTTTGTAGGCTCAGAGGCTGTGCCCTGAGGCTCCTCTGTGGGAATTGGCACAGCAGCCAGGCTGGAGGAGCAGGGCAGGACCTTGGACACGCTGCTCCTGACAGCCACGTGCCAGTCCCAAACTCTGTGCAATCTGTATTTCCCAATTTGCTCACCCCGAGTGAGAAATCAGCTATTTCTGGCCTAGAGACTGGATATAGAAATTGTTTTCCCCGCCTAAGAAATGCAATACAAATCCCATCATTTCGGATCTGGATGTTTTTGGGTTATGTTGCTTGCAGGGACTACAGAGTTTGGATTCAGCTAATCAAGTAGAAGTGTTTACAGAGCCCTCTGTGTGTCCTCAGGCTTCAGATGCTACCACAGGAGTAAAAGACAAAGCTGGCTTTCTATTTTTAGCAGCCAGCCTCTCCTAAGCTCGCCCCCTCTCCTAAAGCTCCCATCCATAGGCTTGTGGGAAACTTCTTCATGTAAGCTCATGTGCAGCCAGGAAATCTCACAGTTTCAGGTGTGTTTTCTGCAGAGGTTTCTTGTTCTGGGGCTCATGTCCCCCTGAGCTGTGGCAGCAGCACTCACTCCCCGGGCTCTGGCCAGGCTGAAGTGGGACCCCCCTGAGGCACTGGGTGCTCACAGCCCATCCCTGGGGGCACTGACCCTCTGTGTCCATGGGAAGCCATCCCTCCTTAGCCCCTGGGGCAGCACAGGCACAGGAGGGAGGCAGGGGGGTGGATAAAGCCCTGGCTAAGGCGATTTGGAAGTCTGTGCTGCAGCTTGGTGATGCAGTGACTTAATGAAGCTGCTGCTGTCACAGGGCCCAGGGACACAGGCGGTCGCTCCCAATCAATGCTGAGAGGTTAATTACACATTTACCTGAGCAGCAGTTTGAAATCCTCACCAGCAAGGGGGGAGACTCCTGGCTGCCTTGGCACCTGCAAGTGTGAGCAGCACCAGAAGTGTGTGTCTAGCTAGATGCCCCCCATAGCTGGCTGAACCTCGACAAGCTGTTTGCTGGGATTTTTGGGATGCTCTCGGCCCAGAAATCAGTTCCAGCTTGGCATCAAAGGCAGAACTGCAGTAGTTCACAGCCAAAAAGAAAAAAAAAAAAAAAAAGAGTTCTTCTCTGTCTTGCTCCTGAGTGCTGCTCCTGAGTGCTGCTCCTGAGTGCTGCCTCACCTTTCAGCTGGAGCCACCCCGCCTCCTTCCTCGGTGCTCTGCTGAGATGCCCACAGGGCAGGTGGTGGTGAATTCACCCATTTTTAATAAATAGATTTTAATTAACTTTTTAAAAAGTCCAGCTCATTCCAATTAGTGGAGGGTGACTGCATTTGTTCTCTCAGAGAGTGGGAGAGAGAGCACTGTGTTTTCAAGACCATCTGCTCATGAATCCTTAAAAAAAACTCAGGAGAGGAAAACAAGCGTTAGCCGGAGGCAGGGAAGGGTGAGGGCACTCTGGCAGCCAGCAGGGAGGCCTGGCCAGCCAGGGGGCTGGGGCTGCCACAGGAGCCAGGGTGGTCCTGACAGGATTTTGGAGGTGGGGAGCTCTAATGAGCTGTGGGAGAAGGGACTGGCAGTGCCTGGATGAGTGAGAAGAGAGGCAGCAATCCAGAAGGCTAAGTTCTGGCAGCCTCTGAGGTGGGGAGCTGCTGCCCCAGTGTGTCCCAGGCTTTTGTAGCTGGCTGGAGATTTCAGGAGGGGAAGTGCTTTGGGATGCTCCTCTAAAGGGAGGGCTTGCAGGGAATTTGGTGCCCTGAATTCAAAGTGCCTCTGGGGTGGGCTTTGAGGAGGAAGGGGCTTTGTTTTCCTGATGCCACCAGCACCTGCAGCAAGATCCAAGGGTCTGGGGGTACCTGGAGAGGGGAGTGGGGGCAGTGTCTGGGGCAGCTCTTTCCCCATTACAGTGGGAGCTGCAGTGACCACGTTTCATCCACACCTCCTTCATTTATTCCCCTTCCTTCAGAATTATCCCCCAGTCCCAGTTTCTGGTCTGAAATCAGATGGGGTGGCTTTGAGAGCTGCAGAAGGGCCAAAATCTTACCAAATTGCTGTTTCTGCCCATCGTGCATAGACAGACTTGTCAGAGCAGTTGACTCAGGCTTGTTCCCTGTGCCCTCCAGGGAGACGATATCTTGGACCGCAGCTCGGAGCTGATCTACACGGGAGAGATGTCCTGGATTTACCAGCCTTATGGACGGAACCAGCAGCGAGTTTTCTTTCTCTTTGATCACCAGATGGTTCTCTGCAAGAAGGTAAGGACACAGCTAAGGGCGTGCTGTGGGCAGGCTTGCCAGTGCAAAGCGGTTTTCAGGGCACGGTGGCTGTTGGCTGCACGTGCAGAGGAGGATGTGGAGAGCCCTGAGGAAGGACAATCTGCATGCTCAGGGTGTGGAGTTCTCTGTGATAGAGGGATTTTTGTGCTCATAGCAAATCCAGCCTCCACTTGCTCTTTTCATGCCTTTATCTCATGTGCCCCTGGTTTGGCTCGTTGCCTCCCTTCTCGTTTTAGGTTTTGGCTGCAGTGTATGATCTGGGATTAGATAGCCCTGCAATTCCTGTATGAACTACAAAACCTGGCACTGGGGCTGACAGCCCAATTGCCGCATTGAGATGGTGATGAGCAGCAGCCAGGCTGTGCTGGGTGTCTGTGCTGGTGCTTGGGGAGAGGCTTTTCAAGCCTCATCCTTCTGTCTCTGCCGTGCTGGGTTTTATGGGGCCCCTCCCTGGAGGAACCCATGGGGGAGGAGGGAGGGCAATGCAGGATGCTGTGCTGCTGTGCTGTGGTGTTAATAGCAGCAGCTGGGCTGTGATCCACAGAAACTGTGTCCAGCAGCAGCTCTGGTGTCCCACTGAGGTGACCCCAGCTCACTGCCACCACACCTGTGTGACAGGAAGGGACAGAGCTCCTCAGTGCTGGCTGTGACAGGTCAGGATGTGCTGTCACTCCCTGCAGCCACACACAACTGTGCAGGGGGGTGTCCCTGGGGCAGCACAGGGCTGTGTTCCTGTCCCAGCCCTGGGAACACAAGACAGGCTGAGCCTGGCACCCTCTGAGGAGGCCCTGGCACCGTGGGAAGGGTGTGGGTGGGGATGTGGGTGGCTCCTGACTCAGCACAGCATCACTGCCCCCTCCACAGCCCGGGCACTGCAGTGGGTGGCACTGGCTTCTCCTGAGTCATGGCTGACTGAAGTTCTGGAATGCCTGTGCTTGTTCCCCCCCTCATTGCTGTGCCTTTCCCTCATGGCTCAGCCCTGTACAGGAACAGGCACAGAGCAGCAGTGGGAGCTGCAGTGAGCCTGGAGGGCACAGCTGCTTCCCTTCCTAATGCTGACCTCCTGCTCTTTGGCTGTGACCCTGAATTTCCCATTCAGAAGGCAGCATCCAGTCTGGCTTGCACTGGGCCTGGTCCAGAGAAGTATTAAGCATCCCCTTAACTCTGGGAAAATGAGGGCTGGGATTCCTGTGGCCATCAGCAGGAGTGGGGAGTGGTCAGCAGTTCAGAGCTGGGGGCCTGCAGGGTTCATCAGAGTCCAGCCAGTGCTAGTGGTTCACTGTCCTCCCCCTTCTGCATGGAAAAGGCATTTTGGGGGGTGGGGAGGTGCTGCCTGGAACCCCCTGTGGGCAGTGAGGGGGTCTGGCCCTTCTGGCAGCACCACAGGCTCCGTGTCAGGACCTGCCAGGGCCTCGTGCTGAGTGTGCCCAGGCAGCTCTGGGGTGACAGGGCACAGGGGGTAGCCCCTCTGGGGACCCCTGGGCACAGGGCTCAGACCCCACTGCAGTTCTCCCTCTGTGTCTGTTCCCAGCATCAAACTGCAGCTGCTGCTCTCCAGCCTTGGGCTAGGAGGGGAGATGAGGTCCCAGCTGGGCTCTCCCATCCTGATCACACTTTCCTTTATTCAGAAGAGTGTCCAAGTCTGGAATTCAGAGGAGTTTTAGCTCCATTTTGGGAGCACACATCCCATATATAAAATGAATGTGAGTGGTGTGTAGTCTGTGCTGTCTTGACCCCCCTGACAGATCCCAAGAGGCAGGATCAGCTCTGCTTCAGGGCTGGGGCCCTCAGGGAGGCACCATTAACCTCGAGCTTTGGGAGGCCAGGGCCAGCCTTCCTTATCCCCTGCTCTAAAACTGAGGGGTGGAATATGATCCACACACCCCTGAGAGCAGCTTTGGAACCACTTAGGATGGCAAATCTCAGTGAATCTTCAGAAAATCTACATTTGTGGGTTTTCTTCAGGTGTAATAATAGGTGTGATAGATCCCTCATCATTACACAGTTTATATGAAAATACTTTTTATTATTATGGTGATTTTTATCTCTTTGTTGGCCCAAAGAGATTTTTAATAGAAATAAGGAGCTAATTCCTTATTTAAATATGCCACAGATGCTTCAGTTTGATGAAGGCATGGGAATATCCTGAGTGGCTTTAGAAGGCAAATACACATTTCAGACAGGATCTCTGTCTCCTCCAGATCTTCACTGCAGTTACCTGCACATCCTCCTCTCCTTGCACACCTCTGAAGGTGTTTGCATCCCCTGGTAATTCAGATGGATCCTGTGGGTGGGGAGGGTGATACAGGAGTTCTGGTGCGACAGAGTTTGATATCAAACTGTGACAATTGATATCAATCTGTGACAATTCTGCTGCTGGCACTCCCTGTGAGCTCCATTGTCCCCAAACCTTTTCCCCCTGGGCTCACCCTGCAGGTTCCTGCTCACAGTTGATGCAGTGGGGGATGAGGGGTCTCCCTGCTGAGGAACACTGTTGGCTCTGCAGTATTCCCAGTGTCCAGCTGCCTGCTCTGGACACTGGGAAAACTGTTACTCTGCTGTTACCCAGCAGTGGGTAACACATTTCCAACAAATCCCATCTGCTCTGCTTGGGCCCTGCTCTCCAGAGGCTTTGCCACCCCTCTCTCTCGGTTTCTGAAAATGTTTCAAGGTTTCAGGGCCTTTTTTTGTTGGACACCTGGCCAAAGCATTTCTGTGAGGGAGAATAACTCTCAGCATGATTGTTTCTGACATTATCACCTGGTTGTTGCCCGCTTTTCCCACCTGCTGCAAGACTGGGAATTCCTGGATGCATTTCCATGACCAGCACGCCTTCAGACAGAGACCTGGCTTGGGAAATGAGTGATCACCCAGGGCTGAGCTCAGATGTGCTTGGCAGATGTTATTTCCACCACTGTGGGTGTACTGAAGTCTTTCTTCCAAGCAGGAAAGCTGCACTAAGGTTTCCTAGGGCTGCAGCAAGTGGAGGAGCTGAGAGTGTGGCAGGCACCTCTCCCTGCTGGCAAACACCTTGCAGAGCAACTTGTGTGGGATCATTTTCACAAAAATAGCTTTCAAGCTTTACAGATAAGTCTCTTTGGCTTAGATTTTGCCACTGGTCACTTCCTACCATCACCACTGAATGCTCTCCTGGTGCCAGGCCGTGAGGAGATTGATCAGATGAAATGGCCTTGTCAGCTATTCCAGGTTCCACAGACTGAGTGCTGAAACACCAGTCTGGATGCAGCAGTTCCTGCTCCAGAGCCACTGGGAGAGCTCAGGATCCAGGTTTTCCTTGCAAAGCCAGGTAACTCTCAGCTGTTGGATCAATGTGAAACTCTCCCATGGATGTTTCCTGAAACACAGGCTGGGACACTGCCGTGGGCAGGAGGACAAGGTGGTGCCTTTCCCAAGGAGCTGGTTGGAGACCCTGATTCAGAGCAGCCTGTTGGGAAGGCAGAAGGGAATAGGCTGGGCAGGAACAAGCAGTGCCTCAGTGTGCCTTGCCATATGTGTATAATCAGGACAAAAAAGCCTATTCTGGGATGCTGGCCGTAATTACCAAGCAATGAAGGCAATCCTGGATGATGGTAACACTCAAAGATGTTGCCTTAAAGGCACAGGGTCCACTTTCCTGATCACCCTGAAGTTGAGAGAGTTTGACACAGAGATGCTTTAGATTTGCAAATCATGGTACTTAACATCCAGGCCTGTGACACACAGCATTAATTATGATCACTTTGGGGATGCTTGAGGTTCTTAGCAGATGAGGATCTTCTTTTTTCTGTTCTGGGTAATAATTTGAATTCCCCCAATGGGCTCCAGGGCACTGTGGCATGAGGCTGGGAATGACAGTGTGAAGTAGGAAGGGTTAACAGAGTTACTGCTCTAAATTCCACTTTTATTTCACCAATATCTGAGCAGTCCTTGATGGGGCCCCTTTAGTGTTTTCTGACAGTGCAGAAAGATCAGTGACTGCATGAAACACATTTAGTTTTCATTTGTGCTTTTTATGTGTCTCTTGTAATCAGGAGGCAATGCAAGCTCCAGCTTGTGGTTTATTGCTGTTGCTGTCTTCCCTTGAGCTGCCTGAGCAGAGCAGGTTGGATGGGAAGCAAAATGAGACCAGTTTAATAGCAGCAGCCAGACAGGCAGCCAGAAATAGCGGTGCTACAGGAGATGGAGTAAATAAAATAATCCTGTCAGACTCCATTGCAGTCCAGGTTTCCAAATGGGAAGATAAAAGAGACATTTCTGAGTCCTTTCAGTGGCAGAAGGTTTAGCTCCCTTGTAGCTTCTGTTGGAAACACCAAGGTGATCTTTGCACCAAAACAACGGCCCTGCTTTTATTGCAGGCTAAAGAGGGCCTGTGGGAGCAGCCAAAACCTTGTTTGCAAACACACAGCAGCCCTGGGACAGTTCTTATTACTTTAAGTGGGTTTTTGACTTCATCAGCACCTCCAAGCTCTTCTCTTTTTCTCCCAGTAACACAGATCTCCACAAAATGCCAGGGTTTGGGTCAGGGCTGGGCCCAGCCTGCAGCAGTGGGGAAATGGGTCAGGCTGGGTTTCAGCAGCTCAGAAGAGACTCAGTGCTGGCCTGACAGGCACAGCCTGCTGCTGGAGCTGGGGGATTCCTGGGGTGTCCTGTGCAGGGCCAGGAGTTGGGCTCTGAGGATCCTTGTGGGTTCCTTCCAACCCAGGACATTCCATGATCCCATGAGGTGGGCATGGAGACAACCAAAGAGAACACAGTGGCTTGGTCACAAGGTGTGAAATGAAGTTTTCAGAGAGCAGGGCTGCCCCAGCCCTGCTGACAGACCCCTGTGCTCTTGCCCAGCTGGGGCTGTCTGCAGGCAGGAGGTTTCTGTGGGACCACAGGGCAGGGAAGGGAATTTGGATGCTTCACCAGTCCCTTGGCCAGCAGATAGCCAAGGAAGGCAAGTCCAGCAATTAAAACCAATTATGAAACAGCACTGC